CTAGGTACTAGTACTGTAGAGATACAGTAGGCCTAATAATTCCCCTATAGGAGAATTGTCTCTACTTCCTGATAGAATAAGATCCTCTTAATAAGACAAATCTGTGGGTGACTCATATTCTTTTGAGGAAAACAAAGTTTGTGTCCTCTTTCCTGGTTTAATTTCCAAAGAGGGTGAGCAGGAGGGGGGGGGGGGGGCTGTTGTGAATTGCACTTTATTTTCTGGGCCAACCTGCCTGGCCTCACCGTAATAAGAGTATCAAAGGTATGTCTCGGCTACTTTGCTGGGCTGGAGAAAAGAGGGAAGTAGAGATGAGGAAACTGTCCTTTTAATGTTCTTTTCATGTTGGGAAGTACTGCTGGATCTTGCTGCAACTGAAATCCTCTGAGACAGGGGTCCCCAATCTTTCGGACCTCAGGGACCACTAAATTCATAATTTTAAATCCCGCGGGCCACTAATATGATCGGCTTAATGATACGCTGGGTGGGTGTAGCTAGGTGGTCATGTGACTGGGTGGGCATGGCCACCTGGATGTCGCTCACATCGAGGGGCGCCTCGCCAGCCTCTACTCACCCCTCCCAGCTCCTTCTCGCTCGCCTGCCAGGGCTCCTTAGAGCCCCAACAGGAAGCAATTGTTGGAGCTAAGCAGCCACCACAAGAAAGAGTTGGCAAAACTCAGTTCAAATTGGATCTGACCGAGAAGGAGGCTCAGCAGAAGTACCTCACTGAGGACTACGAGCATAGGCTTTCCAAGCAGAGGGAAGACCTGCGGGAGTGCAAGGCCAGGTACTGGCGCCAAGGGGCTCAGTGGGCTGAGCTGGTCAGCCAGTTCCAGACCATGATGCAGTCCCACTGGAACAGGGTCTTCTGGCTCTTTAGCAGCACTTCCCTCCAGCCTTTGCCCAAAGCCCCACACCAGGAGGCTGAAGCAGCCCCCAAGTCAGAATTTCTGCCCCCCTCCGACCCACATAGAAAGACCCCAAAGTGGGAGACTCTCTGCAGCAACACAAGCGTTCATTGCACGTATCCATCCCAGGGGCCGTAGTTTGAGGACCCCTGATTTAGTGCAATATAAAAAATACAAATAATTTTTCTGTGGACCACCAAAATTTTCTCACCGACCACCAGTGGTCCACGGACCACCAGTTGGTGACCGCTGCTCTGAGAGGTTTTATTTATTTAGAGGGGAAAAGGTCTTCACCGTTTCAGTGATACCAGTTGAAATCACCTCTCTGTTGTCTTCCTGCCTTGTTTCTAACACAGGCCGTAATATAACATGTTCCTTGTGACCAGAAAAACAGGATGTGGAAATTGTCCCTCACTGATGTCCCCATCCTAGAGAAATTCAACGCTTTGCCATCTGTAGCATTGACGTTATTTCTCTGAGGGGAAAATGGACAAAGCTGGATCTTTATGCAGGGGGAATAAAGCTTGATGTATGCTCCGGTTTCTAGAATGCAGCGTAAACAATTAAATTCCCTCCTAGACAGAAAAAAGGCCTTTGTGTTCCTCAAGTTAGAGTCTGCTGTGGTTTTTTTCATGTTGGATTAACACCTGATGTGTTTGTAACATTCAAAGATCTAACATAATCCCATCTCCAACATCCTCGAAATAAATTGGCTAAAGCGTCTTGCTGATGTCTTTTTTGCAGCTTACTTCTGCAAACAAATTGCATGGCCACAGTATTTATTGGATTGGCATCTAATAGGTGTATCAAAGTGTATTTCCCACTCTGGGAAATCCTGATATTTCCATTGGTTTGTTGGGAGATTTCTCAGCAAAAGATGGGAAGTGATGAATACAGCAAAGTCTTTCAAGGGAGGATTTACAGTCATAGACCTTGGCATAGAGAGAGCTGCCATTAAGTGAACTAATTGTCTCCTGCAAACTCCACTCCCCTTTCGCTCCTCTTTTATTTCCTCTGGGAGGGGCCATTCATCGTTCACCTGTGACCTTACTCCCATGTTGACCCCTGTTCTTTAGCTTTTCCCTTCGTCTGACAACTCTTCACATGCCCACACTTGGGAACAGGACTCCAGCTGTTCGTCTGCCTCACTGATGTCTGACTCCGAAGGCAGCTGAGAACTGGCATACGGCTCTGGCCCCCTCTCTGCCTCCAACACAGAGCCCTCCTCAGAGCCTTCCCCAGACTCCAGGACTGGCCCATGTTCCTCCCCAACCTCTTCGCTGTCCGAATCTGCTGCCAGCTCTGCTGGTTGGCCACAATACCATTGGTGTAGAAGACATTCCCTGAAGACTGAATACCGCTTTCCAGAGCTGTGTTTGTCGACCTCGACAACTGTAAGATGCATGGACTTCAACTCCCAGAGTTGAATTCCACACATCTTAAAGTTGCTAAGGTGGAGAAATACCGGTAGAGAGGTATAAGTATAATCTTTATTGTCATTGTACTTAAAAACGGAATTGGGTAGGTACGGGGAGTAAATCACAGTTTGTGGCTGCTTTCTTCCAATTTTTTTTGTCTTAATTAGATGGGGAACTTCCCATCACAAATGCTATTATCTTGCTATTATCTGCCTGAAGCTCAGCTAAGAGTTCTGGTCCTCCGTGACCCTTGAGGTCATGCTTGGTCTGTATGTTGCTGTATGTTGCCGCTGCTTTGGCCGATGGCCATTCTCCTCCTTCCTGGACAGATCTCAAGATAGTTTCTCCTTGCTCACCGTCTTGGCTGAGAGGTTGCATGATCATTCCATGATTCACTCTGCCTTTGTTCCCTTGAAGTGGTACCCTCCCCTTGCTCTGAATCGGTGACTTCATAGCATTTGTCAAGATCTCCTTAGTGCATTATGGGAACAGCCTTTTCTGTTTTTTTATGCACTGCTATTAAAAAGATTCCCTGGGCTTGTTTCTATCGGTGGCTCTATTAGAAACCCAGAGAAAAATCTGCATTACTATGTTTGAACTGCAATGCAAACTCAGCTGCCGAAGAAATCAGTTAGAGAAACTGGTAGATTTATATTCAATACAGATCTCTGGCAAAAATAATTCAGGCTACATCTTTATTCCTCTAGTTTTCCAGTGCAGGAATATTGGAATCTGTCTAGCATAAAAAATATGCACTTTTCTTTAATTAACTCTCTTGAAAAAAACCCATAACCTTCAGGGAACTCACAAGTTGAAAAACAGCTTAATTTGATGGCATTCAATTTATAAGAGCCATCTTAATATTTCAAATGGGATGGTTATAATATAACTGTTGTGGGTCGGGCAGCCTTAAAAAATTAAATTATACCTAAAATACAACACCNAGATAGATAGATAGATAGATAGATAGATAGATAGATAGATAGATAGATAGATAGATAGATAGATAGATAGATAGATAGATGGATGATTAGATAGATAGATAGATAGACAGACAGACAGACAGACAGACAGACAGACAGACAGACATAAAATTATGCATATACCCACATCTATTATATGGCACAGAGAAATGACATTGTCTAGTTCAGCTGTATATATGTACATGGTGAGAAAAACTAATCTTGCGAGTTTACCAGATAGATGGCATAGGGAACAAAGCTATTACAGAATCTAGTAATCCTGCTAGAAATATTTCAAAACCCTTTTATACAGATAAGAATAATGGGATGACGTGGGACGTAATCTATCTTGCACAGCCAATCCTTTGATTCCTGAAAAAGTTCGGTCTTCTCAATTTTTACTTTTGCATTTTTGTTTCCACCCACCCACCCCCCAGGATTTCCTTTACCACGCTGCCGTCTTTGTCTTCTACTTTGGGACCTTCTTACTGCAAACTGCAACCACCTCTTTGCACAGTCACCCCCTTAAGACGACCAATTTCGCCCCCAACATCACCCATGGAGCACTTCTAGATAGCCATGAATATAATTTAAGCATAGCAGCTGCGGTGAGTATCACTCAGGGATGTTCTGGGATCAGCCAAATCTAACTACAGTTAGTCCTCAAATGATGACCATTCATTTAATTGTCATCTTCTTTTAACGGGATGGAGTCTGGGCAACTGAATGGAGTTGGCAGAGAGTTTACTGGCCAGATGCCCTTCCTGACGGCAATATGGAGATTGGTTCAGCAGATATATTCTCATTGTACCCAGAGACAGGAATATCTGCCTCTACCTAGGATCGAACTCACAGCCTCCTGATTGTGAGGCCAGAGTTCCACTTCTAGGCCACTGCACTGACCAATCATTTAATGACTGCCTGAATTACAATAGTCATTTGATGCAGGGGTGGGCTTCAAACATTTTAGCAACGGGTTCTCTGCTTGGCTGCTGGGTGGGCATGGCCATGGTGGGCGTGGCCTAGTTGGCTTCCTGCATCATGGCTGGGGGGTGTTTTTGCCCTCCCTGGGCTCCAGAGGCTGTTTTCGAGCCTCCGGGAGGGCAAAAACGACCTCCCCAAGCTCCGGAGGCCCTCTGGAGGCCAGAAACGGGCCTGAACTTCCAGTAGGCCTATTTTGTGCCCTCCCTGAGTCTCCGTGCATGCCTTGCACTGATCTGCATCTGAAACGGGCTACGTGGGGACTCCTGGGAGGGGCGCGGTGAGGTGGGAGGGGCCAGTCAGAAGTGGGATTTGGGGATTCTCCAAACTGCACAGGATCTTAGCTGCAGGTTCTCCCGAACCCCAGCAGCCCACCCCGGACTTCTGCTCCTGTAGCCCATCGCAGTCTATCTGCACATGAAAACCCTTTTGTCTCCTCTATAGCCGGGATGGCGAACCTATGGCACGTGAGGCATTGCCCTGTCAACTCCAGTGCGCATGAGCGCACCGACCAGCTGATTTTGGGCTGTTTTTCACTCGCCGGAGGCTTCAGCAGGCTTCCCTGAAGTCTCCAGGGGGCGAAAAACGGCCCAACGAACAAACCAGAAGTTTGGGAACAGAACCTGAGGTGGAAAAGGTTCACCATCACCGCTCTGTAGGCTGGCAAATAGACTTCTCTCTCTGCCAGCACTAACAGGCCTCTTTCTGGAACTGGTTTCTGGAGTTCGGCATCTGAGCTGCTACATGCAGCGGGCTTGGTCAATCTTTTTTCTTCCTCTGTTCTCAGCTGTGCTTCTCAGCCTATCTTGCAGCTCCAAGACTTGCAGTTTTCTCCTCCTTGCTGGAGACTGCTTCTCTTTGGGTTGGAGGCATCTCTACTGCCTTCCTGACTCCCTTATAGCAATAGCAATAGCAGTTAGACTTATATACCGCTTCATAGGGCTTTCAGCCCTCTCTAAGTGGTTTACAGAGTCAGCATATTGCCCCC